TCTTCCCAATGTTAGATTGATTCATTCATTCAAAACATTTTTATTGAGTACCTACTATGTGTCATTCATATTCTAGAACGAGGGAATAGAGTAGTGAATCAGACAGACACAACAGAGAGCAATTCTTCCTTTATGGGGCTTACTTTTGAGGTAACATTTGAGGACAAGAGAAAATAAGCAATATGGCTGTCTGGCGAGAGAGATACATGCAAAACAAATAATAAAAAAGACATGATGGGGGCCACTCCAGAGAATCAGGAATAAAGGACACACTCAAATCAGGAAAACTCAAGGTGGGAATATTAATAGAGAGATCATTTACAAAAGTGTGGAAGCGAGAGGTCATGGACTAATGCACACATGATGTTCAGAAACTAAAGATATTTGTGAGTTTGCGTTCTGCATGGTGGCGGTAGCAAGGGAGCCATCGCAAACTTGGCCCAGGCCTGCGATGCCTCCCTAATCATATGTAAGGTCAGCTTTCAGGGCCCTGGAGTTTACCCCATCATGGGATGTCTTTAAAGTGCACTTTACCATGGAAAGAAACCCAAGCCGCCTTGCTCACGCCATAGGAGGACAGACACCTTTCCTGTTCCTTCATATGGAAGTTATTGTTGCCTTTTCATGGACAGAAAATTACAGACTGATGGAGCTACATTTTCATAGGCACTTTGGTGTCAGAGCATTTGCACAAGTGTATGCTTTGGGCATCTCCACTCTCCACTCAAGAGACGATGTCTTAATTATTTTGACTGTAGCTAGACCATGTTGTGTGCTGTAAACATCTGGTTTATCATTCATCCAGCTGAACTGGTTTAAATCTTGTTAGAAGAAAAGGCTTTGGATTAAAGGCATTTAAGTAATTAAACACATGTCAAGACAATTTGGTGATGGGTAAATATAGTCTCTGTTCAGTGCACCGTCTGGGGGCTCTGGTTTAGATTTACATCCGGCTGGAGTATAGGGATGAAAGCAAAGTGCTGGGTAGATTGAGCCCTGTTCTGGGGGGATCAAAACCAAATGAGTTTTCAGGAGTTCAGCACCATTCCTCCAAGTACCTGTCCCAGGGGAGCAGTTTCCTTTGAGTGTGGCCTGGAAGGACTAGAGCCATTGTCCCAGTCACTTGCAGATTTAATGAGACTCTCTTTGGGCGGCAGACTAATAAACTGTGCTTTTGATTGATCCTTTGTGTCCAGGAAACCAGAGCTATCTCAGAAGCTAAATGCTAGGCCTCAGGTGTGTGTTGTGAGTATGTGTTGTCAGATACCAGTCCTGGGCCTGAGCCCACCTTGCTCTGTCTCCTGGCTGTGACCTGGTGCTGTTAGGTCTGGCTGGATCAGCCTGTGCAAAGCTGTGGCAAGTGCTGAGCAAAGAGGAAGACAAATCCTGCCCTTTGGGAGTTACCGTTCCAACAGCAGTAGGGATGGAGCACCTGATGATCTGATGGGATTTAGGGAGGGTCTCCAGTGAGCTATGCTTTGAGCAGTGACACTGCTCCTCTGGGAGGGCAGAGGGAAAGAAAAACGTCCTCCAAGCTTTCTCCTTCGCTCTGGCCCCCCTTCTAGGAGCAATAAGAAAAGAGGCTGGGTCTCTCTCTCTCCTTGGTCTAGAACAGAGAGGAAGGACTATAGATGTGATTCCGAAGAAGCAAGCTTTGCCATTATGCCCAGATGGATGGTGTGTGATGGAACCAATTAACCCATTTCTGCTGGAAAAAAAAGGAAAAAATTCAGAATTTCAATTTTCAAAGCAGAGAGACTCTTTAAAAAAAACACACCAAAAAACCCCACATTTGATTATTTTTTTCTTGTTCTTTCAAACTGATTTTCATGCTTGTTTGGGGGCAGAATCTTGGTTTCTGAAGTCTGCGGGTGACTGGAGAGGCCAAAACATTTCCTATTCTTGGGTGAAATGGTGGAACATAATGATGGTTCAACTTGCCTCGCTCCTCCCATTCCTCTTTCTCTTAGGTTCTGTTTCCTCCCTCTGCTCAGCAGCCAGTGGTTGGGATTGCCCCCCCCCCAGATAGGACACCATCTGAGAAAGAGGAGGTCCATACTCGTGGGGACAGACACATTCCAGGGTGGCATGTGGGGCCTCTGGTTATCTGGGTTAGGATAACATGAATCGTACTGACTCCAAGGCAAAGACCCATTTGCTGGGCTTCCTCTCTTAGGAAGTGAAGTGGAGTTTAAAGTTCCTTCGTCAGCATAGATTGCCAGAGAAAACTGAAATAGTGAGAAAGGTGGGTGCCTGTGATCAATGGCAAGAGTCACGGAGATTAAGTTTAGCCACAGGGTGGTTCCTCTTAACAACTGTATTCCTTCTGTGTTCCCAGCAGGGAACTAGGTGCCATGAATAGGAGACAAAGGTGAGAAGGGAGTGCTCTCTGACCCCAGGTACCTTGTAGACCCCTGGGGGGACACAAAACAATGTGCACACAAAATCCTAGAAGTGAAGTGAGCTGCTTGCTTTAGGCATGCATTGCACAGGAAGCTCTATTTGAGATGGGGGTGGGGTGCACAGCTTTAGACCTTCGATGCTTTGACATTTTCCTGAGGATCTGACAGCAGGACTCAGGAGTTCAGGTTGTTAGCCTAATCTGTCAGACACTCAGCTACTGTGCTCAGCAAAGTTGAGAATTAGCAGGAGAGTTCAACACCTGTTTAGCTTTTCCCTTGCAGTCCTGGGACCATCTTTAGGGTGTACACTGCTGCCATGGCAACCGTGGGGTGTGAGTTCAGGGACTGGGTGGGGTAGGTCATGGGGTGCGGTCTAGTTGGAGCCCTACTCGCCTGTGATGCTTCAGCCTGTATCCATGTTGGCAGCCCTTGTGCAGCTTTGGACTACCCCACCCCCTCCTGACGAGGGGCTCCTCCCCTTGGTTATTGTAGGGTGGCTTCACATTGCTGTGGTTATAGTTCTTGAACTGATTAATGATACTCAGAGTGAAACTGTAATCTTTTGAATAGGACAAATCTGCAGCTCATTGAGCCTTGGGGCAGCCTCCCCACCCCCGCACTCCCTTTGCCCACCCTCTGATCTCCCCACTCCCCAGAGTTATTTCTGCTGTTTTATGTTCATGCCAAGGAGGAAGCTTAAAATCAGGAAAGGACTGGCCCTTTGGGCTTCCGCTGCACCAAACACGCAGCTCCCCACTCACTGGAAAACGGCCACTTCCGCTGAGCGGCCCCTGTGGCCTCCCGAGGGCCTCTGTTCCCACAGGGGGCCCAAGGCTGGTCTCTCTGGCGTCCAGCATCCTAGAACTGAGGTGAATGGGCACAGAGTTTGAGGAAGAGGAGGCTGCCAGAGGAGAGAGGATTGTTTTGAGAGCCTCTGAGGTCTCTGGGCTTGTAGGTGGGGCGTTGGGTAGGAATGGGAGTTGGAAAACCATGACTGTTAATGAGTAACTGTTGTTTAGTTTTGTTATTGAACCCTGTCCTTTATCCAGAGCCCTGGAAATGCAGATTACTTAGAGTTTAGACATCATAAGTGTTTCCCTCCAAAACCAATTTTCTCCTCATTTCACTACTATCTATAGTTTCTCCGGAAAGAATGATTCAGAGCAGAAAGTGTGTGTGAGATGAGGGAGATCACTGTGTACCAGAGACTCCCCTCTGTCCTCCCCCCATGACTAAATGTGGCTCTTGGCATGGCAGGATGCTTGGTCCTGGAGCTAGTGATCAGACAGAACACACAGACCGCTTTATAGTCTCTGAATAAAACCATGAATAAAACAAGTAAATAACAGTGCCTCGATGCTGAGCAGAGGTTCTCTGCTGTGAGTGTGCTGGAGTTATAGGGATGGAGCCATTTATTCATTGAACATACATTTAATAGGGTTGCTCTCTGCCAGTGGTATGAAATACTGTTAAGATTTTAAAATGAATTCCTTGTTGTGTGTTTTTTCAGACTTTGTGGTTTCAGGGTCCCTTTGCACTTTTAAATTATTGAGAGTACCCAAAGGGCTTTTATTTAAATGGGTTATATTGATTAATATTTATTGTATTAAAAGTTACAACGAAAACTTTTAAAGCACTAGGACATGCAAACATGCATCCCATCAGCTGTTGGGGTGATGACATCGGATACCATAAAACTGAGCTGTGTAATTGAGAGAGTAGGAGTGAAAAAGCAAATACTATCTCAGGACCATTATAAAAAATAGTTTTGAGCTTAGGAACCCTCTGAAAATGTCATGGGGACTCCGAGGGTTTCCCAGACCACACTTTGGGAACTCCTCCTGTACGTGCTCCTAACCTACTCACGGGCAATAACAGGCTCTGCTCTGTGAAAGAACAGGAAGGTGCCAGACATGAGTTCAGATGAAGTGCTGTGGGATGCTCTGAAATATAAGTTATTGATTGTACTTACAGTAATTCATATAGTCATCCCACACGATCATTGAACATAGACGTTGGTGGGCACGGAGGGGGGTGGAGGAGGAGAGTTATTGGATTGGAGAGATCTGAGGGTGTGAGGACAGGAGCAATGTGAGGTTTGAGAGAGCATCTCTGATATCAAAACATAACTTTGTGTTTGGGAAATGAAAAAATTGTTGCTCTTGCCCTGGCTGGTTGGGCTTAGTGGTTGGAGCGGCGGCCCATGGACCAAAGAGTGTTGGGTTCAATTCCTGGTCAAGGGCATGTACCTGGGTTGTGGGTTTGATCCCCGGCCCTGGTTGTGGTTGTGTGGGAGGCAACCAATGAATGTATCTCTCTCACATTGATATTTTTCACTCTCTTCCTCCCCATCCCTTCCTCCCTTCCACTCTATGTAAAAATAAATGGAAAAATATCCTTGGGTGAGGATTAACAAATATATATATATCTTACACTAAGAACTAAATCTCGACAAAAATACACTTGGAGGCCGTAGAGGAGGGTGCAGTGAATGTCAGCTGAGAGGTGCGTGAGGGTTTAATATGTGTCAAAAGACAAAGGTTAAGTCCAGAACCCCGTGCCCTAGAGTTATTATTTCCCTCTTCCTTTCTTCCGTAGGTATTAACTCTCTGATAGCAAGCAATATCTATGAGGCTGCCTACCCTCTTCATGACGTGAGTACCGTTTCTGTGGGCACGCTCCCCGTAGTCTTAAAGCACTTGAAAACCGCAGGCGACACAGTGGGTGGATGTACATGAGGCGAGGCAGGAATGAATCATGACATTAAAATACCTTGGCTGATTCTGGGCTGCTCATGACTGACCGTAAGCCCCAGTATGATTTTTGCCAGTTTCTGTCCAGTTATTTCCCCAATGGTGAAATGAACTGGTTTTGTTAGAACTTTCCCAACACTTCCTGCCTTTGTTTTGGGGGAAAGTGTGAGAAGACAGAAATGGCCTGCAAGTGGTTCAAGGGAGGAGATGTTGGTGAGTGGAGGGAAAGTCTAAGGCCTGGATAATACACAACCTGGACAGTCAGACCTTAAGTCATTGAAATTTGATGTTTGTATATGATAGGTTTGTGTGGATGTGAAGTTCCTCATCCTTAATGTGCAAATATATGCTGTCAGGTTTTTTTTTTTTTTTAAATATTTTTTAAGGAAATCTCTCAAAATTCTTTTTACTATTTAAGTGAAGAAAACAGATTGTAATTAAACCTTTCTTTGTCTGGAAATAATGTTCCAAACACCCCATGATACAATGTAGTGACATTCTTCAAGATGACATATAAAGAACTGGCCCATGAACAAAATGCCCTTCGGCTGTAGTGTTCATTTGATTGGTGACTTCTTTAGCACCTGTCACAAGGTCTTGTCGAATGAAGTGACCAAGGTGGGGATCCCTAATCCTGAAGGAATTTTCCAAATGTCAGTCTTCTTACTGGCTTCTGTACTGTGGGTGTGTATGAGGTTAGGTTCTGCTAGTTATGGATGGGGGAGTAGCACACGGTGCAGGGTGATTTCTTGGGCTATGGCCATTGGCAGACGCAGGCTGTACCGTTGCAGCTGCTATGAGGAGGCGCAGGCTGATCTCGGGGCGCCTGAGGGGACTGTCATCTGAGAAGCTGTCCACGGGAAGCAGTGCAAGCTCGATGACAAGCAAGCGGAGCGTTGGCTCCCGACCATGCCATGTGTTTGACCCTCCTCAAATGAGCGTGAAAAGAAAGGGATGATGTCAGAAAAGAGGAAGGAAAATCTTTTCTCTGCTTTGCATAATGCCATTGGCTTTATCTAGCACCTCTTTGCCTCCTACAGGGAGAATATGATGGCCCCGGGGATGCTGTGAATGACAGAAAGGTAAGCTGGCTTCATGCCACACTGCGTGCTTTGAGCACAGAAGACCATGCATGGATGGGTGAGGGACTAGACAGCAGTGTCCTCAATGTTCGACTTATCTGCTTATATATTTCTCAGCGGTTCTTCCACAACTTCCTGCCCCCTAGGCACTTGGAAATGTTTTCTGGTCATTGACACAACTGTGTGCATGGAGTGCTGCTGGTATTTAGAACCTGGTGGACCAACTGTGTACCATCTCACACCAAAGCATCATCCCATTCTCTGGTGACATGAGGGCCTTAACTGAGAAACACTGAAAGCACAAATTCCTTAATATATAGATGAGGAAACTGATGCATGAAAGGCCTGAGCACCTTGCCCATGATAACGCTGACATAATAAACAGAAGTAGGGCGTGGGACACCTCTAAGTCTTAAATCCTGCTAAAAATGTATTCTTATGCAAGCCGTTACCTTCTTTGAGGGTCATCTTTAAGTTCTTCTTATCCTTAGACAAGTAGGGTATAGCCATTCTCAGATTTCAGATGAGACATCTGAGGGAGAGGAAGGCTCATTCATGCTGGTATTTGGGCAGTTAGGATTTAGAGGTTATATATAGTTAGGGGACGGATAGGGTGCCCGTGGAAGGATGTCCCCTATGCTAGTCACAGCTCCTGACTGGACAGCTCTCCCCTCACCCTCCACTTAGATCCCTGCTTCTGCTCACTGATACTCTGGGAACGTGGGTGTGCCCCTTCCCTGCCATGGCATGGTGCCCGAAGGATCACCCAGCCTCCTTAGAGGTGACTGCCCCTCTGGCTGGCAACCCCACATGCCATCCTCCCACACAGCTTCCCCCAGCCTTCAGCAACTCTGCTGAGCAGAGGGTGGGCAAGGGCAGGAGGGGTGAGGAACTGCAGCCCAAGAGGGTTCCCTCCCCCCAGCTCTGTTGTCTGGAAAATCATTCATCCCCCAAGTTGCCTTTAGAGCAGCCTTCTTTTTATCCTGCCTATTAGTCCCTGTTATGAAGTGTTAAGTATTAAAAACATAAAAGGTCTTTTCCAGAAATACTGCTGTGATTGCTTACACATGTCCCTTCTCTGCCTGCCCAGGGAATCTGCTCTAGTATTTCGATGTCTTAACCTCATCTGTTTTCTATCTGATGCTAATAGTCTCGGTGTTTAATTTCCTGAAAAGTCCCGGATCAGATTTAAAGGAAAAGGAGGAAGTGTTTCTCCCCGCATCTCACCTCACTCACCCCAACCATTTTCTGTCCTCCCACTCTCTAATTTCACATTCCTCCCCTTTAAAGAGTGATCACCACCACTGCCCACCTAAGAAACCTCCTGCTGGGTGGGTGGTGACCCGGCCTGTCAAGGTAGAGCACTTCACAGGAACATTCCAGAGACCAGGAACACACAGCAACTCACGGGAGAAATCAGCCAGCCCTCTCCTCTTCACAGAGGCACAGAGAAGCAGCTTGTAGACTATCCAAAATATATGTGTATTTGTCCTTGCAACGATGTTCTATTCTGAACAACAAAACCTTTGAACAAAGCATTTTCCTCCCAGGAAATGTTTTCCTTAGGCCAATAGAGTTCTTCCCAGTGCACGACCCAATTGGTCGAACGGGTAGAACCTGGGAGGCAGGGAGAGACCAGCCAGGACGGAGATGCATCCTGGTGTGTAATTCCCAAAGTTTACATCAACAGGGTGCTCAGTAAAGGTGAGCTCAGTGTTGTTGAAGGACAACAGGCTCTTCTCTTGTGGCTTTCCTTTGGGTTCACTGGAAGTCCTGGTGTCCTTGTTTTCCTCTGCCAGGGTCACAGGTAGGGAAACACACGTTACTGTGACGGGGGATAAGAGAAACCATGAGCGAGAGGGACAGCTTTTTTCTGTTTATTTGGGCTGGGAAACATACCTAGCAAGGTGAGGAAACTGGTTCCAGTGTCCATATACACTCGTCAAGTCAGGATTAAAACCTCGGTGTCAAAATCCCAGCCAGAGCTCTGCAGCCAGGCCCACACAGCTGCTTGTATTTGGTGAGGGATTCTCTCCATGGTGCTGGGCTCCTTCCTGCAGTTTCAGTGGTATATGGGAGGGGCCTGGAGGCATCCCGAAGAGGGAAGAGCCAACACCCCTGAATAAGTGCAGTGTATTTCCTTGTTTTTATTACATTGCAGTAGTTTACTATTCATCGAGAGGGCTGGAGGAGGGATTCTGGCTGAGGGCGAGGGAGAACCCTTGAATTTGGTGCTGGATGACACGTGGAAGGGTTAGAAGCTGCAGCCTGAGATGGCCTCTCTGGGAATAATAATCTGCAAGGGCATCTCAAACGGCCCATCCTGCCAGTACCTGGACATTCTCCTTCACTCTGCCCTGCAATTTATGGCTGTTCCCATGATCTCCCTGAGGCCTGGACTCCTTGTAGGCAGATTCCAGGCAGCCCAGAGGCCCCCTGAGAATACAAGCTTCTTCCCTTCCAGCTGGCCTCAAGCAGTTATGTGGTCTCAATGGACTCAGCCCCAGCTAGTGCCTGGAGGGCTCTCTCCCCAATTCTGGAGGTTAATTAAAAAGAGGCTCTCTCCCTCTGGAGAACAGGGGTTTCCCACCTTTCTAGAAGGCAGAGCAGCAGAAAGAGGGAGCAGCGTGGGTATGGGTGGGTCCCTCCTGGCTGCCAGCAGCCGCCTAATTCCACCTTAGCCAGACCTGTCTGGTTTTCTCAAACATCTCATCGAAGTGACAGTTAGCATCTCCTGCGGGCTGCCTGACCCTGCTGGCTCCCAGTGGCTCCCATCCACTTACAGGAGGAACCCAAGGTGCAGCATCGGAATGATGCTAAACCCTTTGTCCTGGGTCTTCCAGCTTTAGCCAATGATTGTCTTCTCTGGTGGACAGTTATAAAGTGACTCACTCAAAGGTGTGTGAGGAGAGTCTGTCTTTCTGATAAAAAAGGTACTTTTCTTGTTTTCTTGGTTTCACCTGAGGATGCATTTTCCTGTCCTGCACAACTCTCATTGTACTATGAAAGGAAAAAGACCTAGGTGATTGAAGTGACTTACCAAACATTCAAACAGGTCATTGCAGGACCGGGGTGGAGAATTCCGTTCTCCCCCATTTAGGTCCACCTTGTCCACCGGTGCCTCTGAGTTGGCCACAGCTGGCATCTTTCTGCCTGGTTCAGGTCCTGCTGCTCTCTGAGGAGCTGTGGCCTGAGAGACGGCCTCAAGTCTCAAACATCTTTGTAAATGATTTTAATAGTTAGGTTCCTTTATCATCCTAAGAAATACTTAAACCAACTGATCCACTGTCAAATGTGATCCCTAGGATTTGGACTGGCCAGTTGCATGCTGTGATCCATCAGATGGAGTGGTCCCTGGGGGGTTGTTGCTTCCTGCCATAAAGGTTTGGGGTCAGATGGACATGCCTGGAATTAAACCCAGGGCCCCTGAAACGAGATGCTGTCCATTGAGGAGGAGCTGCAGACCTTCCCTGACCTGCTTGCAGGCTTGGCCAGTCGGTGTAGGGATGTGCTATAACTCTAAGGGAGAAAGTGGATTTGTCAAGAGTTTTATTAGAAAATTGTAGACTGCAAGTTTAAAGGAATTATCACACATTACTGTGGTTGTGCTTCCGAACTTTCCTCACGCAACTCTAATCCCCGTGGGGCCGAGACTCCAGAGCATGTCTCCCTTCACCCTGACGGCTGGTCTGTTCTGGGACCCTGGAACTTGGGGTTTAGCATGGTTCATGTGGTCTCTAATTATGAGTGATTAAGTGTTTGTGAAGGTAGGGAAGTCTCCACCCCTCTCCCTGCCTCCTCTGCAAGGCTGTATGAGCCCAGCAGAGCCGCATGGGTGTCCAGGCCCCAGAGCTGATGCTCCGTAGCTCCAGCTCTCCTGCGGGGCCTGCCAGATGATGTCCTCCATGTCCATCTAGCCTGTTTGCATGGCGCTCAAACAGCTCTCTTGGCCCATCCTCATCTGAATCAACAAACTATGGATACAGCTCTGGGCTTAGTGCTACCATACTGATAAAGGGACTTTCGGGAGGTTTCTTATGGCAGATCTGATATCCAACCAGGGGTAAGGCCTGTGAACTTGGCTCTCAGTTTGGGCCCTAGTCAACTGGGCCATATTGGCTTCTTAGAGCATTTTTAGTTTTCCGCCCCAGGGTAGTGGTAGGTAGGTGTCCTCAGGCTCAGGTTTTGGCTGAACAAGTGACTTGGAGAGGAATTTTCTCTAGAGGGCAGAGCCTTTGAGGCTGGTAGTGACGTTCCTCAGCCCACAAGGGAAGACTTGCCTGTATTTCCTGACGCAAGCTGGCTCCCTTTGGGCCACAAATGATGTCACTGTGACAACCAGGTGCTGGTGAGTCTAGGGTTTGCACTGGGGAGAGAGAGAATAAAAACCTAGGGCAGTAGAAGTGCCTACGATGAGGGGGAGAAGGAGATATAATAATAACAGTAAGATCAGTAGGTGTCACTTGCCTGGAATGAGCATCATAAAAACTCACGAATTCAGATCTTCCTCTGCCCATTATGCACAGTGCAACCCCTGTTTGTGTCTGAGTTTCCTGCTTTGCACAAGATGGTAACTGTGGGTGCAGTTTGCTCTGTCAGGATCTGTGTAGTTTCTGGTTCTATTTTTTGGTTGTTGAGAGAGTATGAGAGAGTCCATAGCCATTAAGTGGGAATGCCAATTCTTATTTTAGTTCTTATATCATCCCTTTAAAGGTGCTTAGGTGAAAGGATGGCTTCCTGTGGGGTGATGTAGAAGTGGGTATACAAAATAGCTGAGGGGAGTAGTTTTCCTTGACAGAGTTCTAGGTGTATTCTTTGTGATGTGTAAGGAGATGTGATGTATAAGGAGAATAAGGACCACAACAAGGAGTAACTGTTGTGAGTCACTGAACCCAATGGTCGCTTCTCCATCTTCATCTGATCTGACCCATCACAGCATTTAGCATCGCTGATTGTTTTCTCCTCATCGAAACCCATCATCCCTTGGCGTCCTGGACACCACACACTTCTGGATCTTCTTCACATCACAGGCTGCTCCTCTGTGTCCTCTGTTCTCCATCGTCCCCTTGACCTCTAAGCATTGGAGCACCAGGCCCAGACGCCAGGCATCGTCTCTGTCTATTCTCCCTGCCTTGGCGATTGCATCCGTAGTTTAACGACTTCATAAATGATCTCTTCTCTGATAACTCCAAACTTGCCATTTGCATCTCCAGTCTGAAGTCTCCTTTAAACTCCAGACTTTTACAACCAGCTGCTCACTCGGTATCCCCACATGGATGCCTAAGGGGCATCTCAAATAGACACATCCCAACTGAACTTTTGGTTCCCCTGTTCTTGACCTGTTCCCACGGTCTGCTCCACTTCAGTAAATAGAATCACCTTGTACTTAGGTGCTCAAGTTCTCATTTTCTTTCGCTCTACATCCAATCCAATAGTAAATCTTATTGATTCTACCTTTAAAACATAAGCAGAATCAACTCTCTCTCACGGCTGCTCATACCCCTTTTAGGGTTCGTGCCACTGCCAGCTCTTTCATGGACCGCTGCAGGAGCCCCCACTCCTGTGCGAGCCCTATCTTCTCCTCCTGCAGTCAGAGTGAGCTACCACAGTCTAAATCAGATCTTTCCTTCCTCGCCGCTGCACATCTTCTAATGATTTCTTCCAAAACTCAAGGATTTGAGCATGGCCTACAAGTCTCTGAATGGTCAGCCCAGTACTTTCTGACATTATCTCCTATTATTCTCCCCATGCGCTACCTCAGCCATATGCTTCCCTGTTTCCCAGGACATACCACATGCATTATTTTTCAAGGCCTTTGCACAGGAAGAGTGTTCTCCTGCCTGGAACACTCCCCCACTTTCTTTAGGTCTCAACTCAAATGTCACCTTTTTAGAGAGGCCTTCCCTTGTCATTCTACCTAAAATAGCACCAACCACATGCCCCTCTTGCATATTCTACTCCCTCACTTCGATTTATTTTTGTGCATGGCAGATATACGTGTTCTATGTTTATTATATATTTGTCTCCACACACCAGGGTATAAACTCCATGATAGCAGAGACTTTGTTTGGTTTACTGCTGTATCCAGTGTCTGGCACATGGTAGATGTTCGATACGTGGAAATTTAATTTTGACTTGCTAGTCATCCAAATGAAGTTATTAGGATGTCTTTGGGGGGTAAAATATTGATGAGCTCGGATAGACAAAGGTGAATAGTTGCCTCTCTTCTAATCCCTTTTCCTGTTTTTCTTTTTTAGGTGCTGTATCAAGAATGGGCACGCTACGGAGTGTTTTATAAGTTTCAACCTATTGACCTCATCAGGTAAGATGTGGGAGGAGATTCTTGGGAAGACTCTAGAGATTCAAATCCTGAAAGATATCTGTCAACTCCCTTGGCCCCTGGCAGACTGCTGGTCAAGCAGAGAAATTTGCTTTGCTAGTTTGTATTATTTCCCTGCTGTGTCTTATGGATGAGAAGTAGCTCAGGGACAGGGAAGGGAATGGAGCCTGTGTGGGGCAGCAGGTAATGTCGATTGATACACCATAACTTCTATTTGAGGTCCTTCAGCACTATGGTCTTTCTTTCCCTGCCTGCTTTTTTTGGGGGGGAAGAGAGAATGGAATTATATCTCTTATTATTGCCCTTCAAATTTGTCCTAGAGAAGGATCTAGTTGAAGCAGATCTTTGGTTTTTGCCCCTGTGACCATGGTGTTGACCAAGAGAAAGGAAGACCTAGAAAATTACATGAGGAATGAGCTGGCGGGCCTGAGAGAGCTTTTTATGGCTTCTCTAAATTAGAAGGGGGGAGAGACTGGGTGCTGGCATCCCTTCCTTCAGTGCTGCCCCTGAACTTATGTCCTGTTACCTTGAGAATTTCCCCAGATCCTACAGAACACTGGTGAACCATTCTTTTAAAGAACTTACTAGAATGCAGTAAGTCTGACTGGCATAAAATGGGTTGAGGGCTCTAGAAACTCAAACACATTCTTAGAGTTCAGCCTGTTTCCTAACTGGAACATAGGGAGGCAACATGCCAAGTGGGGAAGTACTGGGCCGAGAGTCTGGAGACTGGGTTCTTGTCGAGGCCCGACCGCTAGGGACTCTCTCTTTCTTTGGGCAAGTCACGGTCCCTCCTTGGTCGTCAGGATCGAGATGGTCCTAAATTGATTGGAGGCTGAGCTGAAGTATCTGTGAGGGAATTTGAGGGAGCATGCTTGTTTGGAAAAGACGACTCTCGGCCAGTGCCTGACATAATGGACTTACTGCCACAGCGTCACTGTGGCTCTTCTAATGAACTAATTAATCAGCCTGCAAACACAGAGAGTGTTCCTGGCTGATTGCCCCGGGCTGGGACTCCGAGAAGGGCAGCAGCCAGAGGACTGAGTCCAGAGGGAGGAATTCCAGCTTCTTCTTAGAAGAGGAAAGCAGTCTAGGGCCACAGCTTGGACAGGTTCACCTCCCACAGAGATGTGAGGCTTCCCAGGGGACAGGGAGCTTGGTGGGACATCTCCTGACAACAGGTGTTTGTTCCAGCTGAAGACTGTTAACCAAAGGGCCTGGGTCGGGAAGCAGGACCACTGGTGCCTGTGGCCAAGGCTCCCTCACCCAGCACCTCCCAGACCCTGGCTGCCTTTTATGAGACAAGGGCCACCTAGACTGTTCTCTGGGCCACACCGAGGCTGCTTCCTCCATGCCTGGTGGGCTTTGATCTTCTTCTCTGAATCTCAAGTGGCCACCCACTCTGTCGCCTGTTTTCTCATTTGTTTTTGTTTTCAAAATATGATTTAAAAAATAAAAATTCTCCTTACCAGAGAGTCCTGTCTTTCCTCCAGAGACTTCAGGTGACTGGCTGCCAGCTAAGTGGGAAATGACTCCAATATGCACTCAGTTTTGGCCACCAAAGCGGCCTCACCTGCAGGGGAAGAATTGCCTTTGGAGCAGAGCCCTGCGCTGGGGCCTGGTGGTTCCTGAGCACAGAGAGCTCAAATGTGTCTAGACAGGGCATGGTGCACTGTGGGGCTGGAGGCCGGCCACTACTCCTCAAGGACACGAGGGCTAGGGAGCGCCCCCAGCCCTGGGCTGGGCCAGTGGCGTGGCCAGACAGGGGAAGGCTGCAGCTTCAGGCATCTCTCAGACACCGGCTGGAAGGAAGGAACACTGGCTAGTGTGTGGGGGGAGTTGTCTACCCAGTGGTATAGGGAACTCTGACCTCATGTGGCTGCTGGAAAGAGAGAGAAGGACAGTAGTGGGGAGAGAAGGAAGGGGCGGGGCATTAGAGGCAGAGGTGGGTAAGCAGAGACAGGGAAGCAAAGTAAAGGCAGCTGGAGGGCTCGCAAAGAGAAAACTGGGGTGGAGGGCTGGGGAACAGCTACCCACACTCAGCAGCTGCCACCCTAAACTCATTTCACGCTCTCTTCTGATTGGCCCATCTCTGGCCACGTTCTCTGATGATGTCAAAGTCACCTCTTTCCTCCTCTTCTCTGCCCTCTCTCTCACTTCCCACCTCCCGGTCTGATTCCGCGCCCCGGGCTCCCTCAGCGCCATTTCTCTCTCCCACCCAGTCTCCATCTTTCCGGCCGCCACCTGTCAGGACTGCTCATGGCTGGCTCCCCGGAGCCGCTGCTGGCCCCACCTGGTGACGGGGCTTGTTCCCTGACTACTTCCTAATGTCAATTGGACCCTCTTTGTGCCTCACGTGGAAATTGTACCCATATGGTCTGTGTTGAAAGCTGGACAGAAGCAGCGAGTCTGATATAAGCTGAGTATAATTCATACGAAGTCCTGGCGGAACTATTCCCCGCCTATTTCCTTGAGCACCCGGCCCCTATGTTTGTTACTGAGCTTCTGTTCCTCCTGGGGAACCCAGAACCCCGACACCAGCCTTTGGAACTGAGAGCTCAGCAGAAGTGGGAGATCTGTCTGCATTTTGAAAGTCCCAGGACCCAATGTCCCTCTTCCACAGGCCTTCAAGCCTGAACTTGAGATTTTGGTAGTGAAAGTGGGTGGAGGGGAGGCAAGACACCCTTCCCTGCGCCCCTTGCCCCTGCCTCTTTCTGCTGCATCTTCAGTCATGCCCAGCAGGTTGCACTGTGAGACTGTTGATGTGTCTCTCTGGCCCAGCAGGGCTCTCCACCTTAGCTGTAGAAGCCTCTGGGCCTGCAGACCTGAGCTGAGTGTGTGCGTGCGTGTGTGTGTGCGTGTGTGTGTGTGTGTGTGTGTGTGTGTAAGAGTTGCCTGGAAAGTTCCCCAGGAGGGTATCCAGCAGGGACCCACTCCCAGTACATTCTTCTGGGAACATCCCCCCAGAGCACTTCTGCCCTGGCAAAAACATGGTTTGTGATTAAGACAATGAGGGACAGGATGTCTTAGCTGGAGGGAAGTGACTCTTCTAGTCCTTTAGGAGCTGTGTGAGGGTCCTTCCGCCTGGGGAGTAGATTTCTGCCTGCACTGCTCTGGGTCAACTTCCCAACACCCCGGGGGAAAGAGCTTTTATTTTCTGGGGAACCTGGGGGTTGGGGGCCTTTGGGGTTTGTATAGGTGTGATCCAGTATTTGTCAGGAACATGACTTGTCTTTTCACTAACATTGATGTCTGCTCACAGGCTGGTTTTCTTAGCTTGGAGGTTTTAATTTGGATGAGACAAAACAGACTTTAAACATCTGAGTTTGATTTTGCTTCTAACTATACTTTGCTGAAGTTAATATACAAAAAGTGTATTTTTAAGTATCTGCCACCGCTTGCCTATAACAGCATGAGGAGGAGAGGGTCCTGAAGTCTACCAGGCTCAGGGGCATTGCAGCCCGTTGACTTGAGACATTCACCAAGGGGATCACTCACGGGCAGCGTGCACTACACCCAATCAGGGTTACAGTCTGGAGAGCAGTAAACAGCCGTCACTCATTCCCACCTCTCTCAGGGATGCCCACTTCATGAGTGAGCCTTCCTGAAAATCAGGCCCTGGGCCTGAAACCTGTCCATGTGGCATCTCTGCATGAATGTTCTAGCTGGAAGCTTTGAGACATGAACACTTCCACAACAGCCTGAGGAGTCATGCCATCCGCAGAGCCTTCGGGCATCACTTGTATACAGCAAGAGTGGCATGTGCCACCCTCCTTGGCGCACATCTCTGCCATGTTAGACTCCCAGCCCCTCCAGTCCCTCCCATAGGGAGCCCATCCAGGACCCTGGCATCATAGGAATGGGCTTTCCTTCCTCCTACTGCAGGCAGATGTCCTCGTTCTTGCCAGAGTTCTCTAAGCATCCACAAGGAGGCTGTGTGATTAGATCCACCCCTCTTGGTCGGTCTCTGGGCCCCACTTGTACCCTCCTGAAATGTGACCCATCCAATCTCTCTAGGAGGGAGGCAGAGGGAGCCACATTCTTTCTTAGGAGGCCTGGCTGGTTGAGGGGAGGGAATGGAGAGGAAACAATGTTAATCAACCTGTGATTAATTATTTCCTGAGCCTTGCTACCTCCTCCTTGATCCTTCCCTGGGATTTATAAAGGCCATTCAGCTCAATGCAATAAATATTTACTGACACTTACAGTGAGTAAGTCTCTGTGCTCAGAAACATGGGTGGCATAGCAATAAATAAGGTGAAGTTTGTGCCCTAAGGATCTAGCAGTTATGTGGAAAGACAGACATGTGCAAGAAAGGATGAAGTGAGGGCTTTTAAGGATATAAATATAAACAGGATAGTACAGGGCAGCAGATGAAGAATAATTGCTACTAGCAGAATAAGGGAAGACTTTCTAGAAGAGGTGGCATTTGAATTAGCAATGTTGCTCTCTGAAGGACTGAGGTTAAAAGTCCTGAACGTGTCTTCATCGCCAGCCTGGGTTGCCCTGTTTCTGGATTCTTGTTTAGCTTGATATTGATGGCCAGAAAGCACATCAACCCAAAGCCCAATCTCTACTGACAGTTGACTGGGAGTGATAAGATCAAAAGCTTGACTTGCAAACCTCACCTGTACGAACGCTGTGCCAGCCTGGCCCATGTACCTTGATCTGCCCTATACGTTAGAGAAACCAGGGTTGGAAGGAAATGAGGTTGGATCTGAGAGAGGGGCTAAGGAGATGTGAACCATGGTATGTACACAGGCATTAAGCATTTGAAGTGTAGGATTTAGCTGGGAAGTTTTTTGCAGGCTAGAAGGAAATCTCTTGTGGACTGAAGAACATTTTTCTTTGATCTTTGAGGGTGTGGGAGCAGAGCAGACAGAGAAAACCAGACAGTGCTGGTTCAAGCCAGGCGGAAGCAAGTGTAACGATGTTCTGTGCTGCTATATTCTGGCCCATTTTACAGATCAGACGTCAGGCTG